TGGGCCAATTAGAGTGCTGCTTTTGACTGAGCAGCCAAACAAGTAGCCAGTCAAGTGGGTGCCACTCCCACTAGACAAAATGGCTACCGCCATGACGCGCAAACCTTGACAGAACACTGCAATCCCACAACACAGTAACAGGTGACCAACCAGAGTGGAGTCAAACAGCCACAAACAAAAGGGTCAACACAGTAGACCAACTACAGCAACACAGACCCCACAAATGTGAACTGCCACTACCACCACACGACCAGGACACCCTTACACAAGTTACTATGATGTACAAAGGGAATCAGTTACACAAGGTGACCTGACAAATTTGGGATACCACCACCACTAAACGAAGATCCACCGATCTGTTGAGTGGCTACATCTCCCACACACAAAAGGTCACAAGTAGTGATGGCAAAACGAGGCTTCATGAACCAATGAGGCTTTCCAGCCCAAAGGTTCACCAAAAGGTTCATTACCCGAAGCCTCATTGAATCGTTCTCTCTGGTGACACCTGCTGTGCAATATGTATATGACAGATTAAATATGTATGACAGACTAAATTAAGCCTGAGTCAAAGTATCCTGCAATGTCTATAAAATAAACAATTTTTGCCACTGCTACTCAATGAATATAAAGCGTTTGTATGGAAATATCATTTTTTTGAGTGCTGTGACGATCACTCAAAATAAATACATCAATGAATGCAATAGTGGTTATAAAACTGGGAGTGCAAAAGTGCTTATGGAACTGGGAGTGGAAAAGTGCTTATGGAACTGGGAGTGGAAAAGTGCTTATGGAACTGGGAGTGAGGAACAAACTGCAACAGAGCAGAATGGGCAAATAAAAGTTATTGGTTTTTATTAAAAAAAAGAAGCTTTTTCACAGTGTTGGGGTTTAGACGATTTCTTTTCTTTGAGACAATCTCCCCAGCTTTAGAAAACACACAGACAGTTTGGAAGCGGGGATCAAGGGGATCGAACCGCCGGCCCTACGGTTAGTGGACGACCCTGCTCTGTCCACCCGCTCTACCTACTGAACTACTGCCGCCCCAGTATAAGAGCGGATCCTCAGGTCTTTCCAGATTAACTTCTCTCAAGTAGCGGTCTACTTCAATTGTTGCATCCGCTGTTGCACTTGAGCTCTGTCTGCTCTGTCCCAGGAGACAGAGCAGACAGGAGAAGTCCTCGGGCCTCATGTACGAAGACTTGCGTGGATTCTTGCGTGGATTTTGGCGTACGCCAAAACCCCGAAAATGTCGTACGCACAAATAAATTCAGATGTATGAAAGTGTGTGTACGCATGGATCCGAGCGCGTTTCTTTTGTACATCCCGATCAACGTGGAACTGAGCGCACGTGCAGATGTGGCAAACTCCTCCCTGTCCACGCCCCCATTTAAATATACAAATCTATGTAAATAGGCCCTGGACCTGAGATTCACCTCTATCCGATCAGATAAAACAAGCAAGTGTGGCACAGAGGATATTTATATATTATTGCCACTTACTTAAATGTGTTATTTTATATGTATGGACTTTATTTGGCATTTTTACAGACACCCCCCATTCAATTTTAAGCATTATTATTATTATTATTATTGTTATTATTAAAGGCACGAGACCACCCGCGGCTATATAAACTGTGGACCGGGACCAGTAAAGCCACTGAAGACCGGCCGACTCACTTGTCTTTTTGTTTAATTGATTCTTTCAGAATAACATCTTTTCTAAAATATGCCAACCCTTGAGTCAGCTTGCACTCTATGGGTGTAAACACAAGCATGAACAAAGGAAAGAAAAGACATTTCACAGAGTCCGAGTTGGAGATTGTGGTGACTGAAGTGGAGCCGCGGAGGGAGATTCTCTCTGGTCCCGTCAGCAGGGATCCATATGAAGAGAACAAGAAATGAGTGGGAGCGTGTGTGTGAGGCGGTACATGCCGTGGGGTCCGAGCAGCGCGCACACACACACACACACAGGTGAAGAAGAAGTGGTCGGATCTGAAGGTGGAGGTGAAGCGGAGGAATATATTCTATGCGTCACTTTCATGCCGCACACTAGGAAGACCACTAGGTGGCGCTGTTTTTGAGCAAATTCCGTAACGCTTATAACTCCCTCATACTTTGTTGCACATTCGAAATCGGCTTATGAGCCAATTGTCATCGTTTGCAAGTAAATCCTCGCGTTTCCTAAATACTCGCTCACGTCGGATTGCACCATTTGCAAGGTCCTCTAACAACGCTAACGCTGCCATCGGTAATACCATTTTCTTCATCACATTGCGCATGCGTTTATATCCACCCGTATAGTTGCAAACACGGTGGGTGTGTTAATTGTTCATAAGTGTGTCTCTGACGTGCACATCACTGACGACTAATTGTTTTTGACATTATTAACAGTTTCCCAGCGTCACCTATAAGTGTCGCCAAAGGAACAATAGCTGTAGAAACGTGCGTACGCCAGCTATGAAGTTGACGTGAGGCACCGCACATTTCCACAGTCATTTCACGTTTCATACATCTGAACGTGAGCGTGGAACGCCATTTTTTTTTGCATACGCCACGTTTTTGTGCGTACGCAACCTTCGTACATGAGGCCCCTCCTCTTTCTGGGTGGCTCCATGGTGACAGGCAGAAACCTACCTAGCCTACAGGTAGCCTACACTCTATAATAATAATAATAATAATAAAATAGATAATAATATAGATAATAATATAGATAACAATATAGACAATAATATAGATAGCCTATGTATAGCCTATAGGCCTAAGATTAGGCTATATAATACTAATACTATGCGAATAATATAATATTAATAGATAATGATATAGATTATATAGATATGTATAGCCTATAAGCCTATATAATAATAATATATATAATATGTAATACTAACCCTAAACTCAACTAGCCTACTACTAACACTATTCTAGTATCTATCTATCTATTCTAACCTAATATAATATAGTCTAATGCAGTATAATACTAATAATAGCTGAAATAATCTATGATACAATGACTGAACTTAACCACTAACTCTGACACTTATCCAACACACACTCTATCTGTTCACCAATACCAAACGCCAACTCAAAACCCACAAAGTGCCGCGAGGTTCAAACCCTTTTATGCAGTAGCGACACTCAAAATGAATCAGTGACGTGTACACTGAATCCGAGGCCTCGTTTGTCATCAGTCACGTGATTTTTACGGAAACGATACAAGCCTCGAATCGAGGTTTCATCTGGAACGCCTCTTTTTGCTCGACACATGCTCCGACGCCTCGCTTCAAACGTCACATCACTAGTCACAAGACAATTAACTGTGACTCGACACAAACAGTAACACACAAGTGACTCACCAAAAGTGGACTGCAACTACCACGACACAAAAGGGACACAATGTAGTCACCGCTACACAGAAATGTTGCCAACTTTACTCTAAAGCTGCAACCAAAACGTGACCCAACAAATGTGGAGTGCTTGTACCACACACAAAGAGTGACATCACAAGTTACTGCACTCTAGTCTTCATCACAGTTAAAAATCTTCCACACACCTTCTCACCTCATGGAGGTTCAATCTCGGACGAGCCCCCATTTGTTACGCCCCAAACTTTGTTGGCCCTACTGGGGCTAACAACAACTCACCTCTGACCCCAAACACTGAACAACACCTTTTAAAATATACCCAACCAGTGGGATTTATTAACAGTAAGACATATTTACAGGACACTACATTAAGCAAGAGACAAAGTCCAAATCATAAAGACAAGACAAAAATCCCAGGCTGAGAGGCAGCATGAACAGCCAGCGGTCCCATGACAAAAAGCCCCCCCCCCTTGAGGTGCAGGAATCTGTGGCTTTTAACTCCTCCTTGACGAGCTGCCCAGGTGCTCCTAATCACCTCCTTTCAGATGCAGCACACCTGAGCAGAGACAGACACAAGCAACGGAAAAGCACTGGGAAGCAAACACACAGGGAACACATACAGCCGTAACACTATTACCATGTTGTTTACAATGGTATTTTCTGTTAGTTTGGCTGGTGTGTGTGTGGAAATAATAACAAACTGAAAGTAAAGCTTCAGAGATAATTCATCCATCCAAACAACCCTGGGTATGTTATAATTATAAAAGGTGATTTTATTTATTATTTATTTATCTAGTACAAACAGGGTTTGAAGTTAGGACCTAGATACAGACATAGAGACAGGTTGAAGTTGAACAAAAGCAAGGTATTTCAATCTAAAAAAAGTGGGGGGGTTTGTAGAGCAAAGATGACTTCTGTGTGTGGGTGATTTTTTAGAATTAAGCCGAATGGCAGAGAGGTGAAAGCTGTGCCCTCGATCGGCCCCTTGGCAGAGGGGTGGCAAAAAAGTGGCAGTTCACCTACTCAACTTCCTCTTTGCTTTCTTTGCAAGGAATCATTTGAAGGCAACTAGAAAGCATATTATATATCAGCAGCCATGGAGTTACAATACTTTGTTTGATGTTGTTGCATGAAGGTGTTTTTGACATCGTTTTAAGTCCCCTTAGAGACTGGCAAAAATTGCCATGGCTGACTGTTTTCAAGTCATCCTGGCGGGGTATTGGGTTAAGTTTTCAACCAGCAATAACAAGCAGATCCTGTGCTAAAATCCCATCAATACCTTGTGTTGTGTAACATGCTCCCCTAGTAATAATTTCTTAAGATGCCATTTCTGTAGTATGTGAATTAGTGGTGGGCCGTTATCGGCGTTAACGCACTGCGATAACGCGAGACTCTTATCGCGTGATAAAAAAAATATCGCCGTTAATCTATTGTCAAAGTTGGGTTGGGAGCTGGGTCTATACCGGATCATCCATTTTAATCTAGATTAATCTAGATTAATTCCAAGATTAGAGTGAGATTAATCTAGATTATACAAATTAATCTATGCCCACCACTAATTTGAATACAACCAAAGAAACGTCATGAGATTTTTGACCTCTTTCATTGTTTTCGCAAAAACTTTTTGAAGCATTTCTCTTGAAGTAACAGCGGTACTGTGGCTGTCTAGTAAACAGGAGATCCTGGGTTGAAATCCCAGCAGTACCTTTGTGTTACATAAGAATCACACTTAATTGAATTCAGTTTAGAGGCCTCCTTTCTTCCCTTTGCACATGACTGAAGGACAAGGACATGCTACTTAGACCTCTTTCCTTGTCTTCTCAAGAAGAAGAAGAAATGAAACATTTTAGTGTACAATGAAAGTGTACAACGTTGCAGGGAAGATGTGAACTGTATATCTGATAAGGCATACAAAGCATTGTGGGTAATGTTCAACCACTACTTTTGTCTTTGCTTTTGCCAGTTTTGATTGAAAGTTGTCTGGGATTAATGCTTGTGTTGCCAGGTTAGCTCAGTCGGTAGAGCATGAGACTCTTAATCTCGAGGGTCGTGTTCCTTTGGGTGAAGTTTTCCTTTAAACACGGTGTCAGAAGGGTCTGAAACTACTTGTATACATATTGAGTTGCAATCCACACCTATACAAGGCAGATGTTGATGTGAAACCTCCAAATTGAAAAGTGTTATCTTTGTAGAGAGAGTAACTGCTGCTCTCTACATTTAAATCAACAAAAAGAATGTTCTGCTGCAAAACAGCAGATCCTGTGCTAAGATCCCATCAATGCAGCCCTAGAAACAATTTGCATAAGATGCCAATTCTGTTCTATTTGAATAAAACCAAAGAATCGTGTTATGGTATTTTTGACCTTGTTCATTGTATTCTCAAGAACTTTTTGAAGCATTTCTCTTGCACTAACAGAGGTACTGTGGCTTAGCTGGGTAAAGAGCCTGTCTAGTAAACAGGTGATCCTGGGTTCAAATCCCAGCAGTACCTTTGTGATACATAAAAAATCACTCTTAATTCAGTTTGGAGGCCTCCTTTCTTCCCTTTGCACATGACTGAAGGATTAGGTGATGCTGCTTAGACCTCTTTCCTTGTCTTCTCAATAAAATGCTGAAGCATTTCAAGTGCAACAGAGGAGGTGCCGTGGCTTGGCTGGTCAAAGCACCTGTCTTGTAAACAGGAGACCCTGGGGTCAAATCCCAGCAGTACCTGCCATTCTGCATGAACTGGCGAAACTTTTCATGGCAGCTCTGGACTTTATTTGGCATTTTTACAGACACCCCCCATTCAATTTTAAGCATTATTATTATTATTATTATTATTAAAGGCACGAGACCACCCGCGGCTATATAAACTGTGGGCTGCGCTGCGTTCTTCAGTCGGCAGTTAACCGGGACCAGTAAAGCACTGAAGACCAGCCAACTCACTTGTCTTTTTGTTTAATTTATTCCTTCAGAATAACATCTTTTCTAAAATATGCCAACCCTTGAGTCAGCTTGCACTCTCTGGGTGTAACACAAGCATGAACAAAGGAAAGAAAAGACATTTCACAGAGTCGGAGTTGGAGATTGTGGTGAATGACGTGGAGCCGCGGAGGGAGATTCTTCTGGTCCTGTCAGCAGGGATCAATATGAAGAGGAAGGAGATGAGTGGGAGTGTGTGTGTGAGGCGGTACATGCCGTGGGGTCCGAGAAGCGCACACACACACAGGTGAAGAAGAAGTGGTCGGATCTGAAGGTGGAGGTGAAGCGGAGTAATATATTCTATGCGTCACTTTCATGCCGCACACTTGGAAGACCACTAGGTGGCGCTGTTTTTGAGCAAATTCCGTAACGCTATTAACTCCCGCATACTTTGTCGCACATTCGAAATCGGCTTATGAGCCAATTAACCTATGGCTAAACTACGCCCCCGAACGCAATGAGCCAATCACAGTGCGCATAGCTAACCCAATACACTCGGACATTCCCGGCTTCCACGTCCATTGAAATGCATTGGAGGTGGTCATTTTTCGCTTGTTTTTCAATATTTTTTCTTTGAATTTTAAGTTTTAAATGGTCAAACGGTGTGCATGGGGTACATGCAACTTTGATACAAGATACCCCGAGAGGTTGGGCGACGGTATTTATTTTTTACCCTTTCCAAAGCCACATCTTAACCGAGATAAGTGTCTGCTCTGGATAAAATTATGCGGTAGACCACAACACCAGTTAAACGTGGAGAAAATAAACAAGGATGTGTACGTCTGTTCTAAGGTAAGTCAACAACGTATTATCTCTAACATGTCTAACGTAACGTTAGCTTAAAATAAGAAAACGCTAGCCTAACGTTAGCTTCATCATGTCACTTTGTTTACATGGGAGTTCATTGACTGGTTATAGCATAGTTATGCTAGTTTTTGTACTTTTATCAATCGTACATAATGGTTAGCTGTTGTCCAAAGGGCTCTAGTTATACTAACGTTAATTTTTTAATCTTAGGTTCATCAACGTATCTGTAAATAACCGAGATAACAAATGTTATCAATGTTGTGCTGATGATTAGTATGATTAGTACTAATACTGTAGCACCAGGAGAGCTAGCTGCTAGTCTTGGTAAAGATAGTTGTCCTGGAAACGTATGTAGCTTAGACCATTTGATCATGAACCATTACTTGCATATTAAAGCACAACATTGTAGACAACTTTCTACCAAAATATTGTTTTTAGCAAAACATGTAACCTTCTTTCACTCTTCAAAAAAGCTATAAAGTCAATATTCAAACTACATACAGTGTCAATAGACAAGAGGTCTGGATGTTCAAAAGGTCATTGATTTGTGCTGATTTAGTGTGAGTAATTATTACTCACAATTATTACTCAAAAAATACAGCATTTTTTTTAGGAGTTATTACTGTAATAACTCCTAATAAAATGCTGTATTTTTTGTTTAAGCATTTTGAAAATGGAGGGCCCAGCACTGAGTTTCCCCATCCACACCAAGCTACAAGGACTGGATCTACTGTAGGACAGAGGTGTCGTCCATCTCCAAAAAAGAGGTGCCTCAAACGCGTGTTGTGTGCACACATACTGTACATGATCACACACAGGTTCAAGTCACACTTGATGATTGATGACATAATGTCAAGCTGAAAAATCAGAAAAAGATCTGCACACATAGAAACATTTTATGACATATTATGAATCCGCTGAATATCGATTAATCCATAAAATAATCAGAACACATTGATAATGAAAATATTTTTTATTTCATGCAGTCCTAATGATGTTAATTTTCTTTCATTCACAGGTGTGAATCAAGGACCAAGAAGGACCGAAACATCAGGAGAGGAGGTGATCTATTTCTTGGGGCAAAAGTTATTTACATGAAATTCACTAAGCTTTGCAATCATTGTATTGATGAGCAGAATTTCTTTGTACACTCTCTCAACGTGCAGACCTGCTCTTGTGTAAAGGACAAAATCACAGAATTCTAGTCCACTTAAAAGCAGCTGCCCTTGGATTTGATAGTAACAGTTGTGGCTTTTTGATACTTTGATGTCTTGTCCATTGTTGATGACATAGAAGTCTTTGATAGTTGAGGCAGCTTCTTCTATGGTCATGTCTCTTGATCCAAAGGGGCACTTAATTTCGAGCAGTCCAATTTCCCCACTATCACATATAATAGCATCCGGTGTTGCACCAAGAAACGGCAGCTCTGGCTGTAGCATTAGGCCAGCATCATGTACATGTCTAGATGGATATTTTTGTTGGTAGAGATCCTTTGCCTTTGGCTCACTGGCAGTGCCATAGCTCGTTGCCTTTGAGGTGAAGGGTTTTGGGTAGTACATTGACTGGATGAATTCCTCAGTAACCTTTTTTCTTTTCAATATTTTTCCAAAGTTAGAGGCTGTCAGCCTTCCCTCACGATCTTTGTGCCATTTCTCACAGGCAGCCTGTGCCTTTGTCGCCACTTGAATTTTCCTTGCTTCGTCAAGTTTGAAACTCTGATTGAGTTGTGCAGTAGGTGTTGGTAGAGAGATTTCTGGGGAGAGGGGCCTGGGGATGTTGTCAGCACAGGAACAGGATACGGGCAGGGATGATGCCGGCTTGTTTAACAATGGAAGCTATAGGGGGAAAAAAAATAAGTTATGTACAAATACAGAAACAGCAGAAATTACAGTATAACTAATAATAACATACTGTATGAGATGGAGTGCTCTGTTGTGGTTACATACTGTAGTTACACAGTTTTCATTCTTTTACTTGTTTCAAATGTGCTGTATCGAATGTACACTTTAGTTTGAATAATTGTACTGATATGTTGGTTGGTTTGTGACATTTGGCGTGTACCAAAACATCTTTGTTTCCCTTCATTCTTTTTAAACCATACATTTGTATTTTCAGCGCTAGAGGATGAGCAACCACCCGTGCAACAGCAGCCAGAGGAAGTGCAAGAACATCTGCACCAGCATCCTCCACTCGAGCTGCCCTCAGGGGAAATGGAGCAAGAGCTGCTGACATTAAGGTCTATGCTGGCTCAGAAGAATGCTGAAATTGAAGATTTAAAAAAAGAAAAGACTCTAACAACACTGACACCAGAACTCCTGCACCATAGCAATATTTCTAACTATTTCCGGTATTGCACTGGCTTCACTTATGATCAGTTTAACGACTTGTGCACTGTGTTTGCTGTGCCAAATACTTATACAGCTCCACAAACCTTTGTCCCATTAACATATAAGAGGGTTGATCGAGAAATAAATGATATGCCACTACGTCACCAACTTTTGCTGGTTCTCATGAAGTTCCGCCAAAATTTAGACTTAAAGGATCTGGCTTACAGATTTCAGATACCAGAACGAAGCACAGGCACTCTTTTCAACTCATGGGTCGATTACATGTTTGGTGTACTTGGTGAATTACCTGCATGGCCACATAGAGACACCATCATCTCCCAAATGCCAGATAAATATAAGATCAACTTTGGAACAACTCTAGCAATACTTGACTGCACAGAAGTAAAGATTGAGAGGCCAAGTTCATTAGTACTGCAGAGTCAAAGTTTTTCAAATTACAAATCCACCAACACACTCAAATCACTGATTGCGTGTGATCCACGTGGTGCTATTATGTTTACATCAACACTGTTCACTGGGTCGTTGTCCGACAAGGAAATTGTTAACAAAAGCAAATTCTTGGACTTGCTGAAAACGCTCATCTCCCATAGCTACCTGAATCAAGGTGATGGTGTAATGGTGGACAAAGGGTTTCTCATTGAGAAAGACTTAGAAAATATTGGACTGAGAGTAAATATCCCCCCTTTCGCTCAATCAAACACACAGATGTCTGCCGCAGATGTACACAAAACAAAAAAGATAGCCGCTCACAGAGTTCATGTGGAGAGAGCTATTGCTAAAATAAAAAAGTTCAAAATTGTGTCAGGAAGAATACCCAACATCAGATTGGGCAACATTAATCAAATTTGGTATGTTGTGAGCATGCTCTCAAATTTTCAGCCTCACATACTGTAGACTATGTATAATGTAGGTTATGTATGTTGTATAGCTGTAAGTATTGCACATTGCTTGAATGTTTCTCAAATGTAAATAAAGTAAATTGATCAACTGTTATGGTTATAGTACATTTTATTTTTATGGGCC